TATATATATATATATATAGATATACATATATATATATATATATACAGGTTTGGTTATTTTTTGAATAGTAACTATTTTTCTCCAAAAAAATTTATTTACTATTTCGGAAAATTAATTTAACAATTTATGATATATTTCAAATGATCACGTATGGTAATTGCGGCTCATTATTTAAGGAAGTAATTAAGCCATATTTTAAGATACCTAAATTACTTAAGCTAGTACAGAACCCGTGCGATGCACGAGGTGCACAATTTTAAGGTTATTTATCCAGGCTTATAATTATATACATGAATAAAGAAAAATGTACGGGATATATATAGTACGTGACCCGTGCGAAGCACGGGATATATTTATTTGAAGAATATTATATTATAAGATGCAATATTCAATAAAAGTTTATAATACGCAAGAAAATTGTACAATGTTCAATAAAAGTTTATAATACGCAAGAAAATTGTACAATGTTCAGTAAAAGTTTTATAATATTTAAGTGGAGTCTTAAAGTCTCTTGTACATTAAGACTACTGACAAAATAATATTTTAATCAATGAGTTTTCTTTCCTTGTAGCCAAATTGTGAATGTGATTTGAGGAGTACAATAAATCGATATATAGCTGACTTGCTTTTTTCATTGTATTTTTTTTTTTATAATGAATTTAAAGATATTCTAAAATATAGCAAAAAATATTTTTTTATTACAATTAAGAATTTTACTAAATATAGACTCTCAATCTATGGTGTTAATCAACGTTTAAGTCTAAAAAATTAGGAATTTTTACCTCTTTTAATCAACGTTTAAGTCTAAAAAACAATAGAGTTATTATAAGTTTTTTTCTACATCTTTTAAAACAATAAATATGAGCATGTTAGGGCTAGCTTGTAAAATAATTAATATATTATCTCACTAAAACATTTATACTAATAAAAATTAAATTTTAGCATATAAATTTATCCCTTGATATAAAAGAAAGTAACAATTTTACTTATTGTTGTTCACCATATAATATTTAATTATTATTTTATTATATAATAAAAAAGGAATATTGTTAAATAGTGTAGTAGAATTGTTATAAAATTATATGATTTTTATTTTTTTTTTACAATATGGATTTAATATTTTTTTATGATTTGATAATATAAACAAATCTATACTTAACTTTAACAAATAAAACAAATAAATACTTTAGTAAGTATTTAATGTATATACTAAATAGGAATATATTTGGTATAATCAAATACCAAATATAATCAAATACGTCAAAGTGTACATTTTTATTTGGTATTTGATTTTTTTATTATTAAAATCTTTTTATTATACTTACCTTTTTAAAATAAAATAAATAAATAAATTAATTAAATAAATAAAATATTATAATACCAAAATAGCAATGACATTTAATGCAGTTGACTTTTCTGGATAGTAAATGTAGTAAATAGAATCTTCTTTTATATAAGTATAGAAATGATATTATATTATGTTGCTCAAAATAGTAATGCATTTATTGCATTGACTTTTCAACTTACTAAATTTCGTAAATGGTACACCTTATTATATAAGTATAGATTATGTGAATTAATTAATATATGGTATATAGTGGACGGATTTATTTTTGGTATTGATGGTTGTTTTTATAGGAAATAAATTAATTAATATATGGTATAAAGTGAGCAAATTTATTTAGGTTATTTGATAACTGTGTTATTATTATTATTATTATTATTTTTGTAGGAAATTTGTTGAAAAAATTTAATCAATATATGGTGTACTTTTTTCTGTAATGCGCAGGCTAATATATTGGTTTTTAGGCGTGGGTTTCAATTTTTATTTCAATTTTCCGCATAAAATTAACACAATAAAATTATCGTAACTCTGACAAAATAATATGAACTGATATTTTGATATAATGTGTGTGTACCGATATTATTTTTGTAGAAAAAGCTCTGGTCAATTTTTTTATATATATAGTTAGTGAGTCTCGATTTAATTCATTTTTTGTTACGACATTTCAAATAATTTTTGTGCGAAATGCACTGTTCATTTTTTTAGCATGATAAAGAGTGTCGATTTTTTTTGCATAAAAAGTCTTATGATTGATGGCTTTTATTCAACTACTTAAATTTTTTATTTGGATATTTTATACAAAAATAAATTTATTTAATCAATTAAACAATATAATTTTTATATTTATACTTATTATTCACATAGTTTTTAAATATGTGATAAAATTTTACCAAAATAATTATTTTATGGAATCACGTTGTAGTCAAATCGAACTTCTAAATAAAAATTTTGAAATGACACATATTTTGAAATGATATAATGTAATTTATTATCAATTATGTACAACGCACGGGATGTGTACTAATTTTAAATAGACATTTTTATGTAATTTTGTACAAATTAAATTTTATATAAAATTTTTAATAAATTATATACGTACATTGTATTACATATTGATTCCATGTTTCTAATTTATAAATATTATTTAATGAGAATTTTTAATTTATGAATATTAATTAATATCTCTTACACGTGCACCGCACGGGATTCGTACTAGTATATATATATATATTTAAACTATTTTAACTTATATAAATCATTATATTAACTGTATTAATGTAATTTTATAATTTTAAGTGATTATGACAAACTAATTAGATGAAATATATTAAAATTGTTACTGCAAACAATTGAAAATAAATTTTAAGGGTGTATTTGTTTATTAAAAAACTCAATTCATACTCAACATCAAAGTCAACTTTAACTCCACCACTAACTTCAATATCATCAATATAATTAAATAATACTAACAATCATCCTTACACATCAAATTAATTTTAATTTACTATTCATTCACTCACATAATTTTAACTAATCTTCACTTGGCATCATCTATCTCATATTTTTACATCAAATCAACTAAAATTATTTTATTTTAAATATTATTTTTATATAAATTAAAAAATCCCTCTAACAACTAACTACATATTTTTTTAATTATTAACTATGATTAACAAAAGAACTCATTTTTTCAAGCGAATATATTTGTACCCAAACTGACAAAAAAAAATAATGAATTGATTCTAATAAAAAAATTGTGTAATGAGCTAAAAAAAGATAATAATTATTTTAAATAAATAGTTGGAGAAAAACAATTCTAGTATAACTTTTTATATGTATAATTGTATATATATAATTTTCATATAGCATTCAGTGTGACTTTATAATTACTTCGTAGTAGTCATTATGTAATAAAATAAATAAATAAATATAATTATTTGATTAGTGTAAAATATAATAGTTTCTTTTCAAAATTAGTTGAAAACTGAGCGGGAAAAAAACTATATTGCATTAAATTTTTTGCCTACAACTATATATACTAGTATTCAACCGGTGCATTTGCACGAAAAGTTATTATTATAACAATAAATAATATAAATATATTAACAAAAGAAAAAATCACAAATTCATCCATGCAGTATTAAGAATTAGAAATAATTATAAATATTATTAAAACTTCTTTACATATGACATTTGTAGTTTTTCCTATCGTCAGAATTCCCATCGCCACAAATCATTATCATCAAACCCTTCCTATTCGTGATTCTGGAAAAAACAATGTACAACTGACCGTGATTGAAGACGGGGTCTTGACTCTTGAGTACTAAGTCGACATGCGATAGAGACTGACCTTTACTCTTATTATAGTCATATCATAAGAAACCATGACAGGAAACTGACACCGCTGAAACTTGAACGGTACTTTCAAATCGGACAATTGGACTCAAATTCAAACAGTTTATTGAAATTAAAATGAATAAGATAAAAAAAAATAAAATATTTTAATACCTTCACATAATGAAAAACAAACTTCAGCCCGTTGATTTTATATTTGTTTATCATAGAAGTTCTTGCATAATTCCTCACCAAACGAACCTTGGCTGTCTTGTTCTTGTTTATCGCCAAGTATGTTAAATTGTCAAATTGAAATGCCATTTCTTAATGTGAAAAAAAAAATTGCGGAGATAATTTTTTTTAGGTTTGTCGTTTTTCTACTTGAATTGCAATGTAAGTTTGCATGAAAATTTTTGGTCTATTTATAAGGTATTTGAAAAAAAAAAATCCACTAATTCGGAAGTATAAATGTCCAATAATAAAGATTGATTGATTAATTATAGGAATTCGATAACTCAGATTTTTTTTTTTNAAAAAAAAAAAAAAAATTAATAAATAAATAAGTCATGTTTTTACAGTAAAATTACCTTTCAATTTCTCTCAAAAAATAAGTTGGAAACTAAAATGGAACACATTTTTGTAAACCCGAAATCAGTAAATCATAGATCTAATATCAACCTAAGAAACTCCCACGACAAAATCACAACTTTGTATCCAAATAATTTAGTCAACGAGTTACATGTTGAGACTCAATATGACGGTGGCGCCGACTGCGGGAGGAAGGAATCGGAGAGGGAGCAGATCTCGAATCGAGGGTGACGTTGGTGAACGATTCGATAGCGATGAGGATGCAAACCTCCTGCCGGTGGTGCGTGGCATAGGCGGAGAAGCTCTCATGGATCTGTTGGACACCTTCATCACGTCAGTCCTTATGGCGTTGGTGCTGTCACAGGTGATGACCATGGCGATGTTTGGTTTTCCGAACCAAATGGGGGAGAGAGTAAATTTAATTGAAAAAATTAAAGATTAAGATGGAATAAAGATATGTGAAATCTCGTTCAAATGGAAAGGGAAAGTTTTAAGTGATAATAAAAACATCTTATCGTTAATCAGGAAATAAAAATTTAATGTCTCGTCCGCTCGGTCATTTTCTCTAAAAATAATGACTACAATAAAAGCATCACACCGAATTGAACCCGCAAGCAAAATATACGAAAACAAATCGCGCGCCCTTGTGCAACTCTATAACAACATCAACAAAATATCAGAAGAAAACAAGGCATACAGTTCAATAAACTTCAGTTGCACTATAGTTTGCGGGAATCCTTTGACGTTTCTCCACATAAGCAGTCGGGAACCATCCTGCTCTGCCTTTGCATTCTCCTTCAGACCATCCAGACGGGCTCACCTGAGAACCAAAGTGTCAAACAATATTTAATTATGAAAAATAGAGAATATAAATAACAAAGAGTACCAAAAATGGAAAAGTAATGAGAGGAAAAGGGAGGAGGTTACATTCCGAACAACAACAAAATCTCCGACTGACAAGCTAAGTTCCTTGTCTGATGTAGCATCAAAATAATGCATTGCCTGCAAAATTGAATCAATGCTTCATCGAATCTTGCTCTAACAGCATTATTTTGGCTTTAAAAAAACCTCCAAACCTCCTTTAACACACGATTGAAAATAATTTAAAAGAGGAAACTTTTTAACATTAACATGCCTCAGCCAGAAAGTACTTGGTTTTCCCTGAGATTTGAAGAGGGGCAACAGGAGGAGCTGCCTCTTTCCTTTGCTTCTCAGAAACCAACTGCATCAAGTTACATTTTTCTCATATCAGCTCAGCCATAAAACACTTGAAACATAAACCTGAGAGTGCAAAAATATATACCTCGGCTTCAACATTACCAAGAATTGTAGCAACCCTCTCATGATATGTCCTCTCACCTTCAACCTGCAAAAAACATCAGAAAGACCTAAGAAAAAGCACATTCAATTTGTTTCTACACGAGTATCCAATAAAATACCATTGCTACAAGTCTCTGGAATGTAAGCCTTTGCTGCTGTGATTCAACAGATGCCAAAGCTGCTGCCGCTTCTTTACCAAGAACTGCCATGTTTGCTTTGAGTTCTTGTATTCTAGTTTCGGCAGCATGCAGCTTAGCCACATTTTCAGGAATAGGGGATTCCCTAACACGGGCTTGTCTTCTAACAATTTCTGAAGCCTGCATATACTTGAACTAAATCAACATTTTGGGAACTTTTGTTTTTTTTTTTNGCCAATTAAGTGCATGAGTTTTCTTGTCACCTGTGCCTCTGCTTCCTGTCTCATTCTACTATATCGTTGAGCAAGATGACGGGCATCTTCTAGAGGCGTACCAGTAATCATTGCTCTCAAGGGTTCTAACACCTAAAAGAGAGGGAGGAAAGTACCTCAGGGATTAGATAAATTTTATTGGTGATTCTTGAAATTCAACAAGATAAATAAAATTATGTAGTACGATGAAATTTGTCAGCAAAATGTACAGTCTCCATGATTATTTTGCTACTTAGTCCACACTATGAATTAATCATTCCAGTGCAGACTAAGATATGGGTTTCAATGATTCATGTGGATTTAAGCTCCTCCGGTTATATCAAGCAGGAACAGAATCATATCAGGTGTGTTTATCAATCCTAAAACACTAATCTGCCAAAGTGCCAAGAGTAACAAAAGAAAACGATATCACAATATTAGCAGCCATCCTCGAAGTACACAAAACAATGTGTATATTCTCCGAGCAATGAATACTCAAGCAAGCAGACATACAACAATGAAAACTGACGCCATGTAAGATTATTTCCAATAGTGAATACAAAAAATCTAACCAACCTGTGTAAACAATAATCTATTGAAGTCTTCTTGCTCCTTCTCTACATGTTTACGAGCATCCCCATATACAGATGCAGTTTTGGAGAGTATCTCATCATTAGCATTCTCAACTCCATATCTGGAACAATCTTCTGACAACTTGGTTCCTGACTACCATAAATCATGTAGAACTCACTTGAGTACATCAGATGCCCTTTGCACAAGCAACTGACCAAATAAAATAGCAGAATTCATATACGCTCACCAGCTTCAATGTGTTTATAACCTACAGCACTGAATGCTTCAGCTGCTTTGACAATATCTTTCTGAAAATCCTGCACGAAAACATATATTTACAGCTAGAATCACATTATATCACTAACAAGTAAAAGGGGAAATCTTAAAAATTGCAGATCCAAGTCTGCAGTGGCCTCAAAACAAAATCTTAGACAAACCTTTGGTTTCATTAGCTTACTTTGACACAACTAATAATCATTGATCCGCAAATAAAAACATACATTGACACTCAACATCTTAAATTAAGTAGAAATAACTGTAACTATATCGTTACATGCCAGTCAGAGTCAAATGCAGTCTACCAAATAAATATTCACCACCGCCACTGATAATCATACACTTGATCATATTCTATCCAGAAGCAAAGCAATTTTAGCACCATTCTGTGATTCAAATTGAGTTCACCATCACAATCCCATGTTCCAGAACAACCTAAAGGACAAATCTGGGAATAAACAAATACCATAACAATGCTAATACAAGTGCTTTCTCAGTATTTTTAGCATGACTTGTGTGAAGCTAGCGAATGTAAGACCATAATGATATTCCTAGTACAAGCATCAACAACCACAACTAAATACTATACCCTTCCAGAACGAGTGGATCTGTAAAGTTTCTCAAGTTGCTGATGCATCTGTAGCTCAACCTCATCAATAACCAAAGACCATAATGATATTCCTAGTACAAGCATCAACAACCACAACTAAATACTATACCCTTCCAGAACGAGTGGATCTGTAAAGTTTCTCAAGTTGCTGATGCATCTGTAGCTCAACCTCATCAATAACCATAGCCTCCGAGCTCTCATAGCCGCTCGTACTGAACTGCTTTATCACGGCCTACGAATTTCCCACAAAAAAAAAAAAGAAAAAACAAATAAATAAATATTTATCGAATGATTATCCTTTTTCGTTTTTCCATTTGATGAAAAATTACAACACAAAACCAAATCGAACCTGTTGTTGTTTAGCGACTTGATCTCTGAATTTGCTGGCTTGCTTCCTCAAGGCGTCCATGACTACTTTCTCACGGAGCGTTGTGTGTCGAATTGGGAAATGCTATCAGATCTCTACTCCGACGCCACGCCTGGGTTTAGGTCCTCTTCTCTCAATCTGAAGTTGTGAGTTGTGACCGTGTGAAAAGGCAAGGAGCAAAATGGTGCGATTAAGCGAGTACGGTACGAATTGGAAGAAACTGTAGTAAAGGAAACTGTAGATGCCACGTCGGTGTTTGGACTTTTTCGGTTTTTCCAATCAAATTTTAGATGTAGAGACGGTTAAACCAAACGAGCCGCTCGACTTGTTGAGCTCGATCTCATTGAAGCACATTTAGTTAATGAGTCGGGCTCCGCCTGAATGTCAAGTCTAAGATCATCAATAGATAATTAATTATACAAAAAAATAATAATGTTATTAACTTTTAAATAATTATATTTTTAATACATAATATATCAAATTAAATTTTTTGTACATATCATGTGTTGATGATATTTGATTTGACATCCGTATTTCATATAAAAATAAATAAATAATTATATTTATCATTATAATAAAAATTAAATTATATATTAATATAATTGAAAAAGATTAATTAAATCAACTTAACGACAAATTAGTTATATGATGTAAGTTAAAAAACTATTATAATATCAAATGTTAAGCCGTATAAGTGACGAGTATCATTTTAGATATAAATAAAATATAATTTTAAAAATATTTGAAAATTAAAAAAAATTAATTTTAATTTTAAATATAAATTCTCAAACTTCCTCCTATTTTTAATAAGTGTCGTTTTGAGAAGTTGCACAATAATTAAGAATATTTTTTATTACTAATAATAATCTTCATTAATGAAAAGATGGATGTTTTGAGAAAAGATGAAAAGTAAATATGAAATGATATGGTGTAATTATTAGTTAAATGAGGATAATAATGAAAAAATATGTATAAAAGATTTGTCATTTATTTAATTAATGGTTGATAAAACTAAAATGACATTAAAAAAAAATAGGAGGTAATACACGAGATAGTATATTTTTATTTATATACTTATTTAGCATATGAATTTGTATTTCCATACCAACCACTGGCACCACATATCTGGCTGCCCAATTCTCATTTTGTACTTATTCACGTCATTATTCAAAATCCACAAATCTCCAGTTTCAGTCGACCCGAGACGAAAAGCAGCCAAGCTAGAGAGATAGTCAGCTGCCGTAGTGAGAGAAAGTAGGAGAGAGAATCCAGAATTTTCCGGCGGCTGAACTCATTTCAATCGTCGGAGTGGAAACCTGAACCGACCCAAACGAATCAAAAACCATGCCTAAAGGTTCCAAAAGGCGAAAAACTGCCAAGAAAAATATGGAAAATCAATCGGATAACTACCACTCCTCATCTGCTCCTGCTCCTGCTCCCTCAGTTGGTACGAATCTTTTTTTTTTCTTTGATTTACTATGGAGAAAAGTGGGTTCTATGCTAATGCATATGGGCCATGTGTCTCTCAGTTGATTGTTTCATTTTTCCATGATTCTGCTCTGTTTGGATAGGCCCTTGTGTTATTATACAGTTATTATTGGGGCAATTTATCAAGGGGTGGGTCTTTTAGCTTAATAATCTGGATTTTGATTACTTCTTTGTGTCTGTTTTGATTATAGTTATCTGCCAAGTTTTGTCAAGGGCAATGGTTGGTATAATCGTCATAAATACAGAAAGTTCGATTCTTTACTTCTGTTTAAGTGTTTGGATTCGAGGACCCTGTGGATTGGTTAATTAGGTGTCTAATTTCTTATTTAAGATGTTAATGATTTTTTAACTTAATTGTTAAGTGTTTTGATTTGATTGCCCCATGGACTCGTAATTAGGCGATTAATTTCTTGTTTATGATGTTATTGATTTGGAATTTAGCTGGTCTGAAATAAATCAAAAATACTTAGGTGACGAGTGTGTGAAGCATGATCGCGAAAGAGACGACGATATTGGTGAGGTTAGCTCGCCTGCATCTCAGGTGCACCATAATCGCAACAACCCTTTAACTGAGGTTGAGTTAGAAGAGACTCAGAAGAAAAACGAAGGATCAAGAACTACCGTGAAACCTGTTCAGACCGTTAGTAGTAGTGGGAACAGTTCGGATGATGAGGCTCATGATATTAATTACAGTCGAGCAACAGATGATTCTTCTTCGGTTTTGATTCAGTTAAGGTAGCTGAACCTTCGTCTGAGAAAATAGTTGAGGCTATTCACACTGTACATGTTCAGGAGGTGAAAATTATACAATCTGTTGACTCAGAGAAAGTTTCTCCATTGGATGAGCAATTGAAATCGGTTTTGCCTTATAATGCTCCAAGTGCTACTACTGATAATGGATCAGAAAATGAGAGAGATTCTGCAGATATGCAGGTGTTCTTTTCTTTTTTTTTTTTAAAATTCATCTGTCTTATAATATATATTAGTCTTATTTAGCAGCTTCTTGGTGCACTAAACCTTACCTTTTTGTTTTTCATTTTCCTTTTTTTTTTCTGAAAAAAATTTATGCAGCCTTTGCTTCACCCCTCTGCATCTCCAGTGCAAAAGGCATCATGGAGAAGTTGTTGTGGACTGTTTGAAGTGTTTTCAGGTTCTGGAAGATAATTCAAAAGGTCAAAATTCCTTTTGGAAAAAAATGAAAAAAAAAATAAAAAAATCAATCGTCTTGTAACTTCTTACTGTTAGATTCTATGCATAAAACATTATTTCTATTCATGTATTCATGAACCTTTGATGATTACGAAATCTTCTTGTTGATTTTGATATTGGTTTAGTCGTCGAAATAGGTATATTGAAACATGTTTTTTCTTTGTTGTTGATTTTGATATGCAATGCTACAATTTAGACTCTGGTCGTACCAAGGTTCCATCTGTCAACTGCGGTTTAGGATATGTGAAAAATTAACTTGAAACAGCGTGAGGCTTAATGAGAACTGCAAGATTTGGTGATTTTCACAGTTTACTCTGCATGAACAGACATATTTTGTACTCCCTTTTAGTTACATGAGAAATTTGTATCTACATATTACAATATTTTTTACTGTTGGATCAACATACACTCGCATGAGTGTGTGTGTGTGTGTGCGTGATCAAACAGTAAAAAATATGATGTGGGCAAATAGGATTGAATTTTGTAGTGTAATCCAACGGTAAAAAGCACGGGTAAGATTGAAGTTTCCTAGTTACACTGATGTGTTCAATAATAATATCCTACAGTTATCCAATTTTTCTGAACTTTTGTCTATTATTAGAACATGGACAGAGAACATTGGTCGGAAAATGATATTTACAGTACAAAGAAACAAGGAAAACTAGAAAAACAAAGACAACAAACAATCACACGATGATTATGGCAAGGGTTTCAACTGATTGTCTCAAACCTTCAAAATAAGAAAGTCCAGTGAAGATACGACACGGCATGCAGAAACACAAACATGAAATAAAAATTTTAGTTAAATTTTTGGATTTATTATATTATTTATAATCAAATAAAATAGATAGGACAAAAACAAGATAATGATGCATGAACATGGTATGCCAATACGATTAGTCAAGTAGCTCGCACTCCATTGGATAAAAAAACATGGGACAACATAGCAATATTAATAAATTTGCAACATAAATAACTGAAGGGGTTGTTAAAAGGTAACTAAAAATATGTATTGATTATGTATTGATTTTACTGTTCCCTATATTCTTATTACATTTAAAATCCATAACCATATCAAAAAAATAAATTGCACGATTATTTCACAAATTATATATATAGAGAGAAGATAAGTACAAATAAAAGCAACAAAAAAATCAAAAGAAAAAACCTGGCTACAAAATTTTACCTATGGGCTCTAAGAACACTACTTGCTTGCAATTTCTTTGATAAAGCTGCACTGAAGCATCAAAAAAATTTATTCATTTTGTTTTCAAGTATCCCAACTTATACAAATATGAACCTGAAAAATCCTTGCCAATCTAATCAAATTTTGCATACTAAGTTAGGTCCCTGTCCACAGCTATGGAACTAAGGCATGATATACTTCAAAGTTCAAACAAAAGCTTAATCTCAACTTCACCTGGAAATCTCAATCTTTAACTAAAACATATACACACAGACAGACGAATCAAATACATGTAAAACAAAAACATTAACCGAGGCCAAACCACCTCAAATGTATTCAACAAAGTATATCGATATCAGATGACAAGGATAACAAGTATCGCATTACATAGTTTTGAAGCATCCAAAATATTATCTCAAAAAATTACGAGACACAGCTCATTCATCCTCTTGGCTACGAAGCCTGGCAAGCTTGTTAGTGACAACAACATCAAGCTGAGCTGCACGCTCCACAATCTCTTTCCGCTTTTTAGTAGATATATTGTGAGCAATCTCAGCACAGTAAGTCCTGATCCAACAATTTCAAAACATTAATATCCAATCCCAACCTTCATTTAATAACAAATTGAGAACCTAGAGTTATAGAAGAATCATAACAACCTGTTGTGCATCAACAGTATCTCGAGCTCCTTGACATTATGGACAAGAAACTTCTTAAATCCATTTGGAAGATAGTGACGGGTTTTCTTGTCAGACCCGTAGCCAATGTTAGGCATCAATGTGGAACCCTTAAACTTTCTCCTGACACGGGAGTCGATACCCTTTGGCCTACGCCAGTTTGGCTTTGAAAAAGCAAATAGAATTAGTTTTGTTGTTATTAATGTCACTAAATGAGAAATCTGAGTACATTGCAAGAATTAGACACACAATAATAATAATCCAACAGAGTTAAAAGACCAGATTTTTTTGTTCTGTTTGTAAGCAGGATTATAGTAACAGAAAGCTTATATAAATGTGAAGCTATCTGTGTCGCAAGGCCTGTTTCTGAGTTTAATCTCTGCCCTGAAACGAAATGCCCAGAAACCCAATACAATTCTGGACATTAGATACCATGGGCATAAATTTTTCAAACATTGTAAGAAGACCAACTTAAAAAATAAACATCTATGTCAACAAACAATCTCAGCCGAAAGATGGTGATTTTGATTGTGATAATCACTGGACAATCAGCATTATTAACAAATTTCATCACAGATTGCAGGACTAGATTTCAAGCATTTAAATTATAAGTAATTAAATAATATAGTACCAAGAAAGTATTGCTAAACCTATACTATATATAAGTGAGCAAGAGAGATCAGATGGTAGTGCATGAATATATAATCATCATCCAAATTACAGAATAAGTGGTTGGGTAAATATCATCACGCCTCTCTTGCATACCCAAATTACAAAAAAAACTCTAAACAATCATAAAAAATGACATCAAACAAAATAACAAGAAGTCAAATTCTGAAAAAACAAACACAAATTCAATGGGAGGAATCAGATAAAATGTCAATCACCACATTGCATCTCAAGTTAGATGCAGATTAAGACTGGGGCGACAAAAATTACTATCATCATGTTTCCCCCTTAAACAAATCTAGGATACAATAATGCCATTTCTAAAATATAACCTGAGGCAAAGTTAAAAGATCGAATGAAATACCTGAACAGAAACAAACCGGTCGCTCTGGGGCCTCTTGAATTTCTTCACTCTTTTCTTGATGATCTTCTTGTCGAGAAGAGGGACAGCCATTGTTGCTCACTTTCTGCAAGCCACAAACAATTAAACGAAAAAACTAAGAAGCTTCTACACAGTACGTAAAGAACCTGTAGAGATGAAAAACGGAGGAGAATGAACAATTGCTTACCTTAGAATTAGAGTTTTGTGCTCTGGTTAGCCGCCCCTTGTGAGAAATGAAAAGTGGTAGCGGTGGATTATATATAGCATGACGCAGGTGTTCTTGATTAGGGTTTTGACTTTGTAGGCTACAGGTCAAACTATTTTAGCGGATGTGGGTAGTGAACGGTGAAAGATTAGGGTGTACCGTAAGTTCTGTGGGTCATTGTGCGGCGGAAATATGGATTTTCTCGTTGATTTTCTTTGATACCAAAACGAATCGAGTTTGGGCTGTTCGAACTCGTGTTCATTTACGTTCGAGCAGTGTTTGTGTTCGTTCGTTTATTTTTCAAGCTCGTTCGTGTTCGAATAATTTAATATATAAACCTTTTAAATATGTTTGATTAAGTCGATAATTGTTCGTTCGAACTCAAAAATAAAAAACTAAAATAAAAATATTTTTATTTTTTAAGATTTATTATTTAAAATATTATGTAAATATATAAAAAAATAAAATAAAATTATATTAAATTAATGTTCGCGAACATTATCGAACGTCGCGAACGAGCTCGTGTGCGTTCGATTATTAAACAAGCCTAATTTTCTGTTTTTACTCGGCTTGATTAATAAACGAACGAGCTTTTGTCGAACATGAACGAGCTCGAACGAGCTTTTGTTCGCGAACATTCAGATTGTTTACAGTTCTAATCCTACTTTTACAATTTCCAACGTGTCAATTATTCAATACCTCATTTTTACTCTTATTAGTGCGCATTCCGTGCGTGCGATGCACGAATGCACTTGTTACTTAAATTTTTTTAAAAACTTTATTTTAAATAAAATTATTTATATGACTCATCGTGCTTTTCTAAAAATATATATCTTTAATAAATATGAGATATTTTAGATTCGCATTAAAAATTGTAATTTGGATATGTGATGAAAAATGGCGAACGTATTTTGAAAAGCTTAAAGTCGTTTTATTTTTGTATTGGATTCAACGTCGTTAATTGGTTTAATTTTATTTGGACCGACGATATAATATGAAATTATTTTATACCATAAATTAAATGTTAGTTAGATAAATACTAAAATGAATCAATCAAACTGCATAAAAGTGTACGACGAACTTGACACTCTAATATATTGATAAATACAACAACAACAACAACACCCAACAGGTTGGGTCTGGTAGGTCAGTTGTACGCAGACCTTACCCTTGTAATTATAGAAGGATGCTGTTTCCATAGCGACCCAAGGTGCATTGCGCCGTTTGATATATTTTTTTCCTAGAAATTCACTAATAGAAGAAGCACTATAATTTAATTAAGCCATTTGGATCTAGTCCATTATTACCACTATGCCAGGAGAATTGTCAGCAATGACTCTTCCAGCTTCATTTGCAATTGACAATGATATATTGATAAATAATATTTGTAAATTAAAAACATAGGGTCAATATGTAATATAATATGTTAATTTGTTGTAAATGTCTTATGAAAAATAACTTTTGAAAAACATCATAAAACATGCCTATATAAAGCATTAATTAACAACTTCTAAAATGTTGCATAACATGTGTAAAAATATGTAAGTTAATATATAACATGTGTAAAATATTTGAATTTTCTATATTATTCTTAAAAAATGTGTGAAATCACCTAATTTTTTCTAAATAATTATTAAAAAATATATATCTACAAATTTATTAAATTTTATCCCACATTGATTTATGATGTTTGATATTTTTAAAATTATTAAATTTATTTGAGTACGTGAGGTTGGAATTTATTATATCTTTAACTTAGAGAGTTGAATCTTATGAATCAATATTCTTCTATTAAATTTATGAAAATTGATAGAATCTTAGGAGCTTATGGGAGTTAGTTGTTCCTCTTGAGACCGAGAGGAGATAGATAACAATTAATATCTACGATTTAACTTGTTCGAGAGAAATGTGTAAATTAATTTAGTAATTATCCCTACGATTAGTAGAATTAAATATGGTTTGAATGAATAAGAAATCTTTGCTAGAATAATCCTGAGGAATGCATAGCCTATAATCTATTTTCTCATTCTTGATTTATCTTAGAACAAGCATTCATTAGTGTTAAAATTTATTTTGCAATCATTCACTAGTTTAGAATAAAATCACCATTCAAATTTGCACTAGTCTAAATAATATTTAATCGTCTACATTTTGATACTTAATTATTTTAACAACAATCTCTGTGGAATTCGACCTTGTACGCCGCTTACTATAGCTATACGTCCACTTGCGGGTAGTGAAAATATTTTGCGAACAACCAACTAGAATAAGCCAAGTAGCTATCTAGCTGATTCTAAGAAGACTACCCTGCGGGGAGCGTCTAGAGATTACTCTAACTCACCACAAGACACACAACTAAACTAAACAAATCCCACGAGGGATAATTAAACAAATCCCACAAGGGATAATCCAACTCCTACATAGGGGAATAACAACAAATCACAAGAAAAAAAAACCACAATACTACAACACAAAATAAACACTTATATAACACCAGAAACAAACACCAACAAAACAATACACAAACACATATTATGTAGAATAACACCATCCTCTCCCCATGCGAGACAATCCGCAACACACCGCGGCCCGACACCCAGAGACAACAGCCCACTCGGATAGGGCTCTGGCTCGAGCACTGCTCCAGAAACTGCAGTGTAGTCACGGCTAGCTGGAACGACACCAGACGCCAGAAATCTTCTCCCAGACAGACGCCTTTGGAGCTGAAACCGGAGGCCAACCGACAACCCCCCCAATTCCTCTCACCGACAACACTCGTAGCCCCATCAACCCAATCAGCCGCACAACCTACCAGCCTCCAAAGCCTAAGGTGTAGGGCTGCAAACGAGTCGAGCGGCTCGCGAGCGCTCGAGTCAAAGCTCGACTCGAGCTCGAGTTTGACCGAACTTCAATCGAGCTCGAGCCCATATTTTGCCTTGTTGAGCGGCTCTAGATACAAGTTAAATTACTATAAT